AGCTACCTCCAGCTGGTGGTGCAGGCGCTGGTCAAGAACTACGAAGCTTGCAAGCACCTGTCGCCAGTGGAAAAGAACCTCAAAGAGTCAGACATAGAGGATGTCGCTGTCAAGCTGGAGTACAGCATCTTCACCTCCACAAACGTCATCATGATGTACCGGAAGGGAATGATGTCACTGGTGAGTGTTCTGAAGTTGCAGTCATGGTAAAGAAGGCTGTTTGACATTTGGTTTTCTAAGGGAATTTCCAGGTTCTAAGTATTGTTCTGTTTTGAAATATGGTAGTGATGATAGAAGCTAAGAGTCAGGTATATTAGATTCCTAGTTTGCGATGTCAGGCATTCCAGTGGCGTTTTGTATGAACCATCAGTTTGTTCACATTTTTATTGGATGTCTGCCTGACTATGAGACTACAAGCACTCTTGAAAAGCATTGGCCATAGAATAATTCCATTGATGCAGAAGATATGATAGCTAATAGAATTTTTGGTTTCTCCTGTTTGTAATATGTTTTTTTTTACATCCATGGGTGTACTGTGTTAGCTATTTTTCTGAAAATCATATTCAAGTGAAGTATGTCAATGAACTTTAATCAAAAATCCCTTTTTTGCTGTTGACTCTTTGGTTCCATGAAATTAGCACATATTTTATTTGAAAATAGTTAAAATTTTACATTCCCTAGAGCAAAAGGAGAGATGTTGGAGAGATGTCACCTCAGTCCTCTTTTATAGAATGAGGCTATGTAAATTTTATCTTGTTATTATCCCATTTCAGATGATGGGTATCAGAAAAGATACAACAGCACTTAAGTTACGAAATGAGCTGGCGGATCATGAGCCTAAGCTGAGTCTCAACCAGTGGGCCAAGCAGGTGGAAAAAGAGTTGAAGAACAAGAATAAAGTTGGCTCTGGCTTCAAGAGCGCCTCCCAACTCATGGACGACAATGCCAAGGACAGCAGTAAGTTGGCCAACAAGGAACCTCCAAATCTTAGCACGAGAAGAGGATTTTCCCTGAAGAGGTCACCTAATCACCAGACATCTATAAATTCATTCTTTGGGAAGGCGCCCAAGCAAGAGGGGGATTCGAAGAAAAAGGACCACCAGCTTTCAGAAAGTGAGTCAGAGGGAGACAATGATAACAGGGAGGGAAATCCTGAACCAGACAAGGAGGAGGGAGAAGAGGACAAGGAAGGAGAGCAAGGGGAGGATGCCAAAAGAAGTCCCCAGAGCCACAAGGAGAGAGATTTAGACAGTGACTGTGACAGCAGATACGATCCTGACGAGAACCAGGAGTTTGGGTTGGAGGAAGTGTCCCTCTCAGACCTTGAGTATGATGAAGAGGAGGATGGCAGTGATGTTCGAAAAATTGCTGATGACAGAGACAAAGAAAGTGAGAAAAAGGAAAAGAAAGATGATATGAGTTATGATTTTCCTGAATCTGAAGGTTTTACATGTGATAAGGGAGATGAGGTCAGTATTAGTGGGAAGGAGGAAATAGGTGGTGAAGATTCTGATCAAGACATTGACATGCAGGACATGGACAGCTGTGATGAGAGAAAATGTGCAGATGATGTGTTAAAAAGACCTGAAGATAAGGATATGTTAGGAAGCTCAGTTTCAGGAGAAAAGGAAAATGTGAATTCTGAAGACCATGGCACAACCTTTTGGAATTCTCCCTTGAAGGATGAAGATTCATACATGGAATACTCTCACAGCAAAAATTCTGACTTGCACAACAAGCGCAATCATTCACCAAGTAACCGTGACACCTCCAGAGGCCAGAAACGAACAATGGAAGAGGACAGGGCAAGTGAGAAGACATTGACAAGGAAAAGGACCAAGCTCACAGAAATTGACCTGTTTGGGAACACAGACTCCCAGCAGTCAGACTCAGAGCCAGAAAGCGGAGGCCGTAGCAGCACAAAAGAGAATCGTCATCAGTCGGAAAAAGATTCCAAGCACAAAGAGGGCAGCTCTAAGTCAAGCAGCAGGAAGCATACACACAAAGATGACACCAGTTCCTCCAAAGGACAGAGCAGAAAAGAGACGTCGAAGGTAAAAAAGGAGCTAAAGGAGATTGATCTCTTTGGGGAAGCTGACAGAGATTGCGAATCAGAAGAACAGCAGAATGAAAGAAGAATTGTTGATAGAAAGAGGGATAATAGAAGAACTGAGGAAAAGAGTAAGAGAAATGAGGAGACACACAAAAAGAGCAGTAGAAGTAAAGAAAGTGAGGACAGACACAGTAAGGATGAGAGAAGGAGTGATAAAAGTCAACACACAAAGACAGATGATAGAAGAAAGGCAGAGAGAGACATAAAGGAACCAGAAATGCGAAATGAGAAAAAACAAAATTTTACATTCAAAAGTTTTAAAACGGACAACAGGTATGATGCAGGAAGCAGGGCAAAACTTCCAGATGAGACAACTTACAGGAAAATGAATAACTTTGAAGAGCAAATAAACAGAGAGAAGGAAAAACAAGAATATAACAGAAAAGA